CGTTTGCAAGAAAACAACCAAGCTCAGAGAACCCCAAGGACTCCACAGTTCAACCCTAAGCGACACATATTCACTTCTATTGGTACAGTCAAACTTATAGTAAGTTCAGTTATTGTAGCCCATCTCAATCAAAGTAGTTTTAGCCTTGCTGTGAAGTTGATTTGTCTGGTCTACCTAGCGGGGCTGACAGTCTGGTCTTCTAGTCCTTAGAAATGCTGAAAAATTATTCTGGCATGCAGCTATGTTGCTTTTTATCGGAAAACCTTCTTTGGGCAGCATGTTCAGCCTGCCAAGAAACTCCACACAATACAGGGCTTCAAAAGGTGAGAATATCTGCCTGCAGATTTACAATCTAAAACCTAACCGCTCACAAAGAAAAAGTTATAGAAAAGAAAAAACGGAGGGGGAGGGAGAGCAATATTGGACATCAATTCTGAGTTAAATTCTTATGCAATTATCAGCTGGAAAGTATTTGGGAAAAGAAGAGCGCTATTATCTTCCTTCCCCACCTGCTTTACTACTTGACATATTTAACTGCCTTGTTACATTTTCAAAATTGCAAGCAGTTCAGGAACAATGTGGTCTAGGAACATGGGATGCCACCGTTATTTATTTACATGTCGCTTCAACCATTGTGATTCGAAGTGGCTTACAAACCAGAAAATACAATGTTACAGTTAAAAAATACAACAGAAATAAAGGAAGGACAAAATAATTGCCAAGCTGATCATTACTGGTGTTAGATTTTAGGTTAGACGCCTTTTCAAGTCAACGCAGAACAGAAGTAACAAAATGCACGTTCTTTGTTTAGTAAGCTGTAATTGTTTAAATCAGAGTTTCTCCACCTCAGCCATTTTAAGACATGCAGACTTCTTAAAGCATGCTGGCTGGCTAATTCCAGGAGTTGAAGTCCACACATCTTAAAGGGGCCAAGTTTGAAAAACACTGGTTTAAATGATTTAAGCAATTTAATTCTTTAATTCTTGAAACAATTAAGCTCTGTGCCACCAAATCCCTGTCTGCATCGTTACGCCTGTGAGAAAATCTTGTGGTAGTACATTTCCACTGGCCAACTGCACTTCAGATGCACCTCTCCAGCACCACCTCGGAAGGTTTCAGCACGGTCACCAAATGTTCCTAAGACTCATTTGTGACAGATCACTGCGTAATTCTTTAATTCCTCAATTCCCACTTCTCCCTCTGATCTTTCGTAGTACCTCCTTGGTGAATTTAAGAGTCTGCAAAGCAAGCTCTCGGGTTGGGGATAGGATGAGGGCTCGTGCTCCTGTCTTGGCGCTGTGGGCTTTCAGTTTCTCTAGCATGGGAATCAGAAAACAAGCCGTCTTTCCGCTTCCGGTCCTCGCCATGGCCACCACATCCTTGCCGTCCAGGATCATAGGAATGGTCTGCGGAACAAGCCAACTTCACGTGAAGAAGAGGAAAATCCAACAGCAATTGCCACCTTTAAATCACAGCTTTCAATTTTACAGATAACAGAACAAACAGAGAACCTGTAGCAATTCAGACCGTGCAAAACCACGTAACGAAATGGAAGAGGGGCTGCAACATGTCACTCAGCAACTACTGAAAGTGCATGGATTCTCTACCTCCACCCCATTTTAAAGGAAGTTGACTTTTACCCCCTATTTTTTTCAGCCTGGTACGCCCAAGATTTTTTTTTTATTAAATAAATCTGTTACTGAGTGAATTAAATAATAGATAATTTACGGCCAATTTCATCGGTTTGACCAAATGGATGCAATCTGAAAGTTTACATTCAAGGGGGGAAAAACACATTACAGGTAGTCCTCACTTAATGACCATTAGTTTAGTGATTATTCAAAGTTATGACGGCACTATAATTAATTAACTGATCCTTGCACTTATGACCATCACAGTGTCCCGGGGTCATTTGTGACCTTCCCAGCCGGCTTCTGGCAAGCATAATCAATGGGGAATGCCACAAAAAAAATGTTGTAAAATTGCGTGCAGTCATGTGATGTTTCACTTAATGACTGTCCCACTTACCAATAAATTTTCCGTCCCTATTGTGGTTGTTAAGCAAGGACTACCTGTACTACTAAAGGATTTTAAAAAATCCAATAGGGTGCTTCCTGTGTTCTCACCTTCCTCTGAATGGGAGTAGGTATTTTGTATCCTTTTTTCATAATTCCTTTGAACACTGGATAGCTGAGACCTACGAAGCAAGAAAACAGTTATACTGTCCCTTTTTCCTTTCAAGATCAAAGGGTCTTCTCGGCCTTCCCAGCACACAGGTAGTTGCAAAGATGAAAGAAATTAAGAAGAATAATGCACATGGATTAGGCTGTCCTTCCCCTAAATTCCAAAAGAATATTACAGTTCTTTGGAGAGCAATTCTTCTCTTTCTCAGCAGCATCACTGCCCTATCGCCTCTCACCCCGAGAGATTTGGGATCCAGTCTGGCAGGAGTCTACCATCTTGTTTTACCCAGAATGCCCTGGGCACAGGGTTTATCCAGGGGACTACGGGGAATCACACGGTGGCAGTCAGTTGGCCTGGCAGCTGCCTTGATGCCTCCCAGGGCATCCTGGGACAAGGAGAAGACCAAGATGCAGAAGGATGCCAACTGGAGGAATCCGGTTACTCCTTGGAGAAGCTCGGAAAGGAAAAAGAAACCTGCTTCTCTGGTTCATCACTAATAAATTAAGTTCTCAGGTGAACATCTCAGCCAGCCCACTGGAGTCCCTTTAGCGATAGGCCCCCTTACCTCACCAAGTCCCAGAATCTCTCAACTCACCCATCGACTGGAAGCCTCCCGATTTCTTCTTTTTCTTGTTCTGGGCACGGACCAGTTCCTGGGTGTTGGGCTCCATCTCAGAAGCACAGTCAGACTTGGGTAAAGCCAGCTCTGGCATCTCGTAGTCCTTTGAACGCAACCGGGGAAAGACGGAAAATTTCAGATCCGGATGCCTGGGGGAAAACGCTACTGGCGGGAACGCTCGGATCCTGGTTTCTGCCTGGCTCGGAGGCTCTTCCTCCTGCTCTGCGGCTTTGTCAGCTGAATCTTTAAAAATCCGACCACGGGAAGGGGATGGTACCCTTTGGGGTTTTCCCCCCACGGCACCCGGGTGGGTTAAAGCAGGGCAAACCAGATTTGGGGCTTCCTCCCGGAGCAAAGATGCCACCTCTTTGCTCCCCAGATGCAAGCAGCGGCAGGAGGGTCTTCCCGGATGTTCTTCAACTACAACTCCCAGCATGCTTCCTTCTCACTCGTGCTCAGAGGGGCAGCTTTGCACCCTCTGGAGCAGTGTTTCTCAACCTGGGCCGCTTTCAGCTGGGCGGACTTCAACTCCCAGAATTCCCCAGCCAGCCATGG